ATAAAAATAATTATTTAAATATATATAATAAATAATTATTTTTTTTGACAAAATTGAGTATTTTTCTTTTTCTTTTTTTCTTTGGTTTTTTTCTGTTTTTTGTTCCCTCTTTTTCTTTTTCTCTCTTTCTTTCTATATAATTGTTTTACACACAATAAGATTTCTCTTTATAATATTCTTATAAAATTTTTATCATTTAAAGAGCATTAGATAAAAAGAAGAATAAATAGAAAATCATAGATTTGTTTAATTTGGTACATTATTTCAGTACCAAAGTAGCTGTTATTGTTATTCTGAAATGTTATTCTCGTGCTTTTTATATTTGTATTCTAGCGCAAACTACTCGCGGATATTTGCCGACGTGATTAACAATCGCCGTATTGTTTTAGTGCGACTAATTACGTTATAATGTCTCATATCTGCGTGTCAAAGGAAATGTGTATTACTTCTTTGCACTACGATGATAATCGCATCCAAACGTTCTCCGTCATAAACTGTTTGCGTAGCTCGTTGCCACTTCGTCTCGATGATGTTGACAATAGAATGTCACACATTCCGCAAACAGTCCCACACGTTTTAGATATGTTCAGTAATTCTACATAGGACTCTCGGTGGGTGATGCCTCGAAATCGTAAGAAGGTGGTAATTGAGTCCGGACTGGCGAAGTTAGCCAAGCAATTAAGAAGCGCGATTAGAATATTAAATTTTGATTATCGCGACGATAAATCTCCAGAATGCCATAAAATGTCAGGGATTTTAAGGGGCTCTCATGTAATTAGCAATGACTACGTAGTTACAATATTATTGATCATATGATACAATTAACAATAGCGATATAAAAATTAATGATTTTTGTAGCACCCAAACCGAGCGGTAGAAGGTCGAGGAAACCGGGTATCGATCGAAAACCGCGTCAAGCTTACAGTGCGAAACAATTGGAAAGACTTGAGGCAGAATTTAAGGTATATATTTCACGCTTCCCGCGTCTTTTCTTTTTTTCCTTTCTCTTATATGTGACAATATCTTGTTATCATTCTCGTAAATTTCCTTTATAAGACGAATATTTTTATCTCCGCAGATCGATAAATATCTCAGCGTGAGCAAGCGCATGGAGTTGTCCAAGTGTTTGAATCTTACCGAGGTGCAGATCAAGACGTGGTTCCAGAATCGCCGCACGAAATGGAAGAAGCAGCTGACATCGCGGCTGAAAATCGCCCAACGGCAGGGACTTTTCCCACCGACGTACTTTCCGACAACCCAGTATCCTCTACTGCCGTATTACGCGGCGCCTTTGATGTTCGGAGGTCCGTTGTCGGATGACGCGAACTCTAGCTTGCCGACTCGATCCACTGTATCGTCCTCAGATACGGTCTGACGCAGCACAGACTCGAACTACTTGGTCGATTGTCGGCCGGACGATCGCGAAGTGCAATAAGACCTTCCGTTGGCCATTGCGAAGTATTCGAGTGTTCCTTTTTTATTTGTTTTTTTTTACGTATTTGCAATGTAACGTTACTAAATTATATACATTTTATATATATATTTCTGTATACATAAAAATTATAAAAGTATTGCCGATAAAAAATGAGAAAAAGTACTGAATTCTGTGTGTCTGAAATTATTTTGTGTATAATAAGAATAATAAAAATAATTATTGGATACCGTTGAAAGATTATTCGTATAATTATATACTCGCAATTTACAGCGTAAACGATCTACAAGCGTACACGATTTGTGAAGCGACTTTTTTCTATTATGATAAGTCTCTGTGAGATTGATTCTGTTTATTGTACATAAAACACAATAATTGTATATTTGCGTTCTACTTGCTGGAGTTTCGCGCAAAATAGATACCCTGATTTATTCTCGACTTTCTGAATTTTTAGTGATAGAAATGAGATCATATTCAAGCAACAGTACGATATAAAGCGACCTTTCTTCCTGATTTCTAGAACTTCCTTCCAAATTGATTTGTCTTTGCTGAATATAAAATGTGATTACTACAAATTTCTGTTATGTCCACAAGGATCATGAAAAATAGATAAGTTCAGAACTTACTTATTTGTTCTGAATAAGAGATTCTGTTCCAATAATAATCAAGAGATGTATAGACATTTCAAATTGCAATACGCTTTTTAGACAGAGATTATGTTTACCGTATATAAAATACGATGATTACAGATTTATGTAATATCTATGAAAGTTGTGTGAAAAATAGATAAACTCTGGGTTTACTCGTGATTTTTCACATTTCCTGCAGTGGTAAGATAAGATTGTATTCAAGTGACATTCACGTGTAAGTGACGCGGAAGTGACATAAATGGCCGCAAGGAAATGCTATGTAAGGAACACGTGAAAATAATATGAAAACGATATGGAAATGTGACGTTGATATAGATGGAGTACCTGATGCCTCGCATTTAATTTTCTTCACTCTGTTGAAGTTTCGAGCATTCTTGGAGTGAAATTTAAAAATTTACTAATATATACTAAGCGGGCAAAAATGGCTATATCTGCACGTAAAATATTTTTGCACGTTTCATGCAAAAATATTTGTTAAAGAATTTTATTTTGCATTTTTCACGCGAGTAAAAAAGCTACAGTTAAATATATATGTATCTTTATTCTATTATTTGTTTTAATTTCGTATAAAAATATCTGTTGTTATTCTATTTTTTACAACTATCGTGTAATTTTATGTTTGCAATATAAGAGAAAATTGAAACAAACATTATCTTCAATTTTTGACTGCATTTTTAACTCGAATGTTTACTGTAATAATATTTATTAAATAAATGAATAATTAATTAAATAAAACATGTGACAAATTATTTTTCTTTTATTGTGAAAGGTTTTAAAAAATTATTGTAACAATCTTGTATTTTTTGCTCGAAATCTCAACACTGTCTTCTTTTTTAATAACCATAAAGAGAATCTTTGCTTTCTCGCAAACCTTATGGAACGAGGTATGAAGGAGCAATATAATTAAAAGATTTGAAGGCTTCTAAGGAAAAACGCTGCACTTTACTATCTTTAATAAAGAGTGAGATAAAAAGGGAACTTCTTATCGTCTATCAAACTTTGCGAGAATCATGACGAGGAAAGGTTGAAGGCGGGAGAATAAAGAATGAGGAAAGCAGAAAGGATGAGATTTTATGTTCGATGAAAGAATTATGTGTACGTAGGACTCTCTGCTTTAACTAACTCTTTTAACTTGTGCATAGTTTAAAAAATTACATTTTTTGTTTATGTTGTATGCGCGTATAAATGGAACTAAGCTTACACAGCAAGATATAATTTATTGACAGAGATATAAGCCAAGCTGTAGCATTACGTGTGTTATCGAAGTTATTCGTATGCAACATGCAATTCAAATATACACTCAAGTTAGGGCCGCGCATTTCTATGTAAAGTTTATGGGAGAGCCGCAGTAAAATGCCGTTTAAAAATAAAGAAGATCTACATCATGAATTATCAAATGCCCCCCAAAAATATGAAGTAGTATCGAAGAGTTGTCTATGTAATACATACTAGCTCTCTCTCTCTCTCTCTCTCTCTTCTCTCTCTTTCAATCCATAAATTATACCTTACCGTGTAAGTTTTTATAGTTTTATCAAAAAAGTAAAATAAATAGTTTATTTTTAAATCTTGTACGAGAAGGTAGAGAGAAGGTCCGATAAATATAATTACAGATTTTGATAAAATCACAAGAATCCTGAATATTTGAATATAATATAAAATAATAGGATTACTCGCGCAAGAGTTGAGAGATAATGATGCGTAATTATTTCTTCCCCATCGAATAATTAAACGTCACAATTAATAAATTTCGATATATCCCATGTATCAAATATTCTTGTCTCTGCAACACTTTTCGTTTCTCGGCTCGCGTTTCTCCGCGTTATTGTCGCGTCTAACGGTCGTAGGTTTATCAGTCTCGCAGGCGTGCCGTCCCGCCGGGCACTTCGTCCGCGTCAACCCCAAGAACACGTTGAACTTCTTGCGCTTTTTCGACTTCGGCTCCGTTTCTCTGCGCTGTGCCACGCTCGTACCGGGACAGAGCGTGCTGGTCTCGCGCGTCCTCACTTTGACGGACGACTGCATAGTGCGCAACAGCAGTATCGGGCTGCAGCTCTTATCGAGCGTCAGGGGTGTCTCCGCGTGAAATTTATGAGCCGAAACTTGAACAGACTTGTCGGACTGCTCTGGTTTGGCACTGGCGGTTGCGATCGCCAGCGTGTTCTGGGCGCACAAGTAACAGCAACTCTTCGTGAAGTCGGTGAGCGGTAAAGGCGGTTTCCCGGGGACGTCATCCTCGGGGACTTCTAGGTCCTCGTCGCGCGTTACCAAGTGCGTGTCCACGATAAAATGCGGCATTCGCTCTTCCCACCTACGTCTTTCTCTCCTCTCCCTCTTTTCCTTTTCCTTCCTCTCCCTTCTCCTCTCCTCCCTGATTTTCTCATAGACATCCTTATCGGCAACTTCCACCGCTTCATCCTGTTTACGACCTCTCTTGGATTTCCTCGGGCGGCTTATCGGTTCTCGGTGCAGAGTGCCTGATACACCGATGACCGCTACGTCGTCTGGTTTTTCGCACTTGCTTCGCTCCTTCATTCGCCTAAGAAACCGTCTCGTCGGCTCTTCCAGAATGCGTTCGGAATATTCTTTCTTCCTACGGCACAATTTCACGCACCATAGATGCTTAATGCAGGACGATCGACACCTATGTGGCAAATCGAGATCAGACGTGTCGACACCTTTATGTTTCTGCTCTCTTTGCTCGGGTTCTTTCGAGATGCCCCGATTTTCCACTGTGTCATTGACACGCTGTTCGCGATAAACGGCGTTGTGCCGATCTAATGGTGCCGCTGCAAATTAAACACAATAATTAATCCTGATCAGATAACGATAAAGGACTGCATAAATGATAATAATCATGAATAGAAATCATTTTATTACAAGCAAAAATATCTGTTACACCGCGAGAGAGAGAGAGAATTCTCAATAATTTAATTATATTTAAATTAATTTCTGCTCTCTCATTAAACCTATTATTTTCATTTCTTTTGACGTATTATTATTATATCGTTTTTAATATATTACATACTCGGATTTATTTCAACTTTTTAACAAAACGAAAAAAAGAACGATATCCGCAGTACGGAAAATTGAAAACGGAAACGATGTAAAAGCGGAAATGGAGTTATTTTTCAGGTTGATTTGCAAAGAGCTGGATGTACATTGCTTACTGCCAGATTTATATGTTGAGGAATGGGCAGCATTTTGCAATAAATGCGCTTCGTATTCCGTTTGTGCATTTTTTCTGCTAGATATTTGTTCCTTAGGATGTCGTGATGGATGATCGGTGTATCGAATGACATCTGCGGATCGATCTGTTGTTACGGATTCATCCGAATTCACAGTCGGACGCATTTTCATCTAATCCGATTTTCTTAGGTTCCATTCGTTAAAAATTAATTATCAGCGGAATTATTTCCAATTAAATATGCAGCTTCGATAATGTAGATTAAATTGTTCCACATTTGCATCGAATAATTTATTTCTTGAGAGTTTTTAGTTTTCTAAGAGAGAAAGAATAATATGAATAATATGCAGTTTTAGTATTTTAGATGTTTAGTTTAATTTTTAAACATGATTAAGAAAGGTTACTTTTTATAGGTTAACGTGATGTACTCTTGAATAAAAAATGAGCGAATGGGATAATATCAATAAGTAATGTTTGATATGATTTCATTCCATATACTGGGTTTTTACTCATCTCTGATAAAAAATGAAATCGGTACGATCTCTTTATTTTGCCATATCGAAATATCTCATCCATTAGTGAAATTTTGCCTTTTAACCAAAACTGTCAGCGTCCAGCGCCTTCCTTCATTATTAAAAACTACCGTGAGATAAAAGATATTTTCAACATCAAAGAAAGATAAGTTTTAATTTATCAACGAAATAGTCATATTTTATTAAGTTAAATTTCGATTTGCATAAAGTATTTTTATTTTCTGCGTTAAAAACGTTGTTTTAAAAATTTGACTCTTAAATTGTGTAATATGTCAATTCTATTTATATACATATATCATACCACTTAGACATATTTTGTCTATACGTGTATAAATTATATTTTATTATTAATTAATTAAGGGTTCATGTGTGTTTATTGATAAAATTGTTTATAAATCTTTATATTAAATGTAATATTAAAATATGTCAATTTAATTTTTTTATTAATTATCTATATATTTTGTTTCTACGATGAATTAAAAAAATAAGATTAAGTTGCTACAATTGTTGCAGCAATTTAATTTAATTTATAATTTTGTTTATTGCAATTACATAATTTTTTGATATATAAAAAATGGAAATAATTAACATTAAACATTTTATATAAATACTTTTTTAATTATTATATATACACTGCACGAAATTATCGTCAAAAGAAATGAAGAGACTCAAACAATATTTTCATAAAACATTTCTGATTTTTGAAACATATTTATTTGTCGTATGAAAACAGTACGCATTTCAGTATAATATAATTTTTTAAAATTCGTAAATATTAATATTTCCACGAAATATTTCAAAAAACTTGAATATAATATGCAACTTGCGACATACATTTGCATGTGTATGCGAGATTATATTCTCTCTTATCATATTTGTCAGATTATAACACTATTTATCTTTTTTTAATACACATCAGTTGCTTTAATGGTATTTATATCATTTCAAGTTTGGAAAATGTATCAAACGTATCGTATATGTATGTAATTCGAATTAGCATTTTGCATTTTAAAAATAAAGCAAGAGATAATGCCACGCACGTAATAATCGCATCGTATTTACATTTAATCGCTTATATTTCAGAAGCTATTGTAATCTCGACGTTTGTTGTATTAGAAGGGAGAATTCTGGAACATTAATTTATAAAATATGTAATTAAAAAAATTGAGGGACACATAACATATTCTTGTATACAAATATATAAACAGTGGATATCGTTCGGGTAAATAAATCGAACGCTGTTGCGCATAATGTAGCGACGCGGTGCGCGTCAATGTCGCGTGACGTCACCGTTACACGGCACGATGGAGGTCGCGTCGAGCGGTACGTGTCGCCATCTGGCGGTGTGATTTCTCGGGCGCCCGGAGACAGTGAGGCAGTTCGCATCGCGCACGCACGTCGCAAGGTACATACGTAGGTGAGTAGGTAGGGAAGTGCAGGATCCCAGCGGTGGCAGGACTGGTGTATCGGTGGCGAACGGTGGGGTAATACGTGCGTGCGCGCACCCGCTCGTCAGTTTGTGTGTGTGTGCGCGTGTTTTGTTGTCGCTGCGAGATGCGTCTGTTAAATATCGAGTGGCCGTTATCGTCGTCGCCGTCGTCGTCGTCGTCGTCGTCGTCGCGGTCGTCGCCGTCGCCGTCGTCGTCGTCGTCGTCGTCGTCGTCGCGCTGCGCGTGAAGGAACAAACAACGGCCGTCAGCTGTTCGCGTGCGAAGGACGAATTCACGGATTGTCGTCGACGCGGAACGGAGCGCCGTGAAAGCGAGCAGTGAAGGAACGAACGAGCAAACGAGCTCCAGCCAGCTGAAGTTAGTCGCGAGACGACGAGGGGCGGAACAAGTTGGTAGTGCGCGTGTGTGTTAATCGGCGGTGGTCGTGCGAGTGTCCGCGTGCTAGCGTGATCTCGACGGGGAAAATGATGGCGTAAACCTCGTCGTGCTCCGGAAACGACGGAGAGAGAAAGAAAGAGAACGAGAGAAGAGGCGGAGGAGGAGAAGGGAGAAAGAGAGAGAGAGATAGAAGAGACGCGCGCCGCGTTCATATTCATCCGTGGCGGCCGTCGTGTCGAGCGCAGCAGCCGATCGTCCGTGTCCTCCGTCGTCCACGTCGATTACACATCGTCGTCGCCCGCGAGCGAGCGGAGCGTGACGCGCGGAGCAATTCGCGTTCTTCGTCATCATCGTCCTTTCCGTCGTGCGATCGAGACATCGTGCGCGGTGGTGTGTGCAGTGTTGGAAGGCAAGGAGAAAAACAAGTGTAAAGAGAAAATAGTGCTAAGGATTTATAACGCGCGTCCTCTCGTCGTTCCCTCGTCGATCCTGTTGCTAGCGATCGCGCCACGTCGCGTCACGCCGTTTGTTTTGTATTTACGTGTTCGCGGATACTCGCGAAGGTGGTGCCGATCGACGCCAGGTAGCCAGCGCGGCGTGTCCTGACTGCAGCGAGGGATTATAGTGTTACGATGATCAGTGACACGTGCGGATACGTTCTCTTCCTGCTGCTGCTGTTGCTGGTTCCCTACATCGAGAGCGGTGAGTCTCAAAATACACTTCATTTCCGACAATGCAAAGCGTCTTTTGCGTTTCGCGACAGGACGCGACTTGCGTGCGTGTATGTATGTATGTATACGGTGCGTAGTTGCGTACGTACGTTCGTGTGAATACTTTCGATGTGTGCGACGTCCTTCTGTGCGTGTATGCGTCTCTCTCGTGAATCATCCTTTCACGAAGAGCCCGCTTGTCGCGTGTTTGAACGCGTCTCTCGAAAACGGTTGAGCGAGATAGTGGCCGCGAATATACGCGCCAAGAGAAATCGTATTACACAATACATATGTTTTGCGCAAAATCTTGCGCATTTGGAAATTTAGTTTCTTTGAAACATATATACGAGAAAAATATTCAATTCGTCATATTCGAGGAATGACATTGTTTAGTTCCGATTTTGATACTATGCAGGAGACACGTTATTACTGCACTCCTGTTCGCTTCCTTTGTTTGAAAATTGTTTTCGTGAGAAACTTTTTGTTGCACGCGAATTTTCAGAATTTACAGAATTCAAAGTGAATTTTTAATAAATATTATTGCCTCTCTATATGATATAAAAAATTATATATAATATATTGTTTTATTGATTAATTGAATATATAATAAATAATCGAATTTATAATTATTTCGGGAAATATTTGTTTTATCTTTTCCCGTATTATAATAGAAATTATTATATCTACGCGGATGTGTACGTAGTTTCTTTTATTTAAAGTAAATAAAAAGAGTAAACATTGATAAAGAACGATATATCCAAAGCAATATAAAATTTTTGTTTGTATGACTTGTAACACATACACACACATATATTTTTGATTTATATGTGAACATACAATATATGGGATCTATAAAAGTAACTAATTGCAAATTTGCAATGGCACGATTACAAAGTCGATGCAATAAATCACATAGAAAATATAAGGATAAACAAAATTGTAAAAAAATATATAGAAAATATACGTAAAAAAAAAATAGATAAAAACAAAAAGTTTCTACAGCGTTCGATTCGAAACTGAACTCGCATCTGCGTTATACTAAATCATTATGATAACATTATGTAAATTAATCAATCCCTATTTTTGGAGTCAATATATGCACACCGTTCTTATCTTGTTCAAACTCTTCGACACAAAGATGATAAATCTGTTTCGCGGTATAATAATATCGATATCGCACGCATACAATTTATTAAAGAGACAAGAATGTGTTTTCTCAGATGTCAAATATTATCATATCGGTTGTTTACTTTTTTCTCTCCTCGCGCTTTTCGTTGGCGCGTCCTCTCGTCGTTCCCTCGTCGTTCCCTCGTCGATCCTGTTGCTAGCGATCGCGCCACGTCGCGTCACGCCGTTTGTTTTGTATTTACGTGTTCGCGGATACTCGCGAAGGTGGTGCCGATCGACGCCAGGTAGCCAGCGCGGCGTGTCCTGACTGCAGCGAGGGATTATAGTGTTACGATGATCAGTGACACGTGCGGATACGTTCTCTTCCTGCTGCTGCTGTTGCTGGTTCCCTACATCGAGAGCGGTGAGTCTCAAAATACTCTTCATTTTCGACAATGCAAAGCGTCTTTTGCGTTTCGCGACAGGACGCGACTTGCGTGCGTGTATGTATGTATGTATACGGTGCGTAGTTGCGTACGTACGTTCGTGTGAATACTTTCGATGTGTGCGACGTCCTTCTGTGCGTGTATGCGTCTCTCTCGTGAATCATCCTTTCACGAAGAGCCCGCTTGTCGCGTGTTTGAACGCGTCTCTCGAAAACGGTTGAGCGAGATAGTGGCCGCGAATATACGCGCCAAGAGAAATCGTATTACACAATACATATGTTTTGCGCAAAATCTTGCGCATTTGGAAATTTAGTTTCTTTGAAACATATATACGAGAAAAATATTCAATTCGTCATATTCGAGGAATGACATTGTTTAGTTCCGATTTTGATACTATGCACGAGACACGTTATTACTGCACTCCTGTTCGCTTCCTTTGTTTGAAAATTGTTTTCGTGAGAAACTTTTTGTTGCACGCGAATTTTCAGAATTTACAGAATTCAAAGTGAATTTTTAATAAATATTATTGCCTCTCTATATGATATAAAAAATTATATATAATATATTGTTTTATTGATTAATTGAATATATAATAAATAATCGAATTTATAATTATTTCGGGAAATATTTGTTTTATCTTTTCCCGTATTATAATAGAAATTATTATATCTACGCGGATGTGTACGTAGTTTCTTTTATTTAAAGTAAATAAAAAGAGTAAACATTGATAAAGAACGATATATCCAAAGCAATATAAAATTTTTGTTTGTATGACTTGTAACACATACACACACATATATTTTTGATTTATATGTGAACATACAATATATGGGATCTATAAAAGTAACTAATTGCAAATTTGCAATGGCACGATTACAAAGTCGATGCAATAAATCACATAGAAAATATAAGGATAAACAAAATTGTAAAAAAATATATAGAAAATATACGTAAAAAAAAAATAGATAAAAACAAAAAGTTTCTACAGCGTTCGATTCGAAACTGAACTCGCATCTGCGTTATACTAAATCATTATGATAACATTATGTAAATTAATCAATCCCTATTTTTGGAGTCAATATATGCACACCGTTCTTATCTTGTTCAAACTCTTCGACACAAAGATGATAAATCTGTTTCGCGGTATAATAATATCGATATCGCACGCATACAATTTATTAAAGAGACAAGAATGTGTTTTCTCAGATGTCAAATATTATCATATCGGTTGTTTACTTTTTTCTCTCCTCGCGCTTTTCGTTGCGATATATTCCAACTACAAAAAAATGAGTTACCGGTCTTTCCTTTGATCATACCTATTGTGTACTTTATTAGGAGGAAATACGATGCATTGCGTCATCATTTCCCGGAACTTCGAGTTGCATCGGAAATGCCGCCGAATATAATCCTAAAACGAGTCACAGACGAGAAACATGAATCATCCTGGTAACCAAATAATTTTCCGTGAATAATCCGTAGTTCCTCTTACAGTCCCGTACTCTAATAGATTTATAATATATATTTCTATGTGTCATCCGAGACATTGTCAAGTTTTAACGTTTGACACTCGTTATAATTTTCATGACAATTCATTGTTTCATTTAGGATTAATATAATTCTTTATAATGTATTGTCTTTAGATAAAAATTTAATTAAATATAATGAACGATGCTTCAATTTTGAAATGTTTTAGACAACTTTAAAAGGCGGAAAAGTAATTTTGAATTATAAAATACCACTGTGACAACATTTATTTTGAATAGAAATATCCAAGCACCTGCGCGTCTTTTATCCTCGAACTTTTTTATGTTTAAATGCAGATAAAGAGAGTTAATTCTTTACGATCCTGTATTAAACTGTAGGCAAGACGCAGAATTTTACAACACGTAAATGCAAAATGTGAAGTAGCGAAAATAATTCGGACCGCGATGTGCAATCCTGCGCGGCAATTGTTGCAAGACGATTGCGAAAGTTTTCTTTCCCTCTCGTGCGCGCATCGCACGAGATGTGATGTGAATGGCCCTCGACGGAAGTCGTAATCAGCGAATCACCGGCCGCGTTGGACGATAAGTTATACGTCGATGTGCTCGCGCGCGCGTCATCGTACTATTTACGATAATGGGGAAGATTAAAGAAAACTCTTGTATTCGCGCGAGATTTCCACCGACTATATCACGCCGAACATTTGTGAATCGTGAATGTGTGTGGGAGGATCTTATCCCGTTAGCTATATTAACGATACGCGAACGCGAGATTAGATTTCTCGCGGCGATCGTAAAATCCTCGATTAACACGCGAAATGATATAACGGGTTTTTAACGTTATTGCGTTGCTTCGTCGAGAAACATCGCCGTCTCTTTGTTACATAGTTTTGTCGCATTCCTAAAGCAGACGATCATCCGGAAGTGTGTTCGCGCATGTAAGAATCTCGCATGTACGAGGCACTCGTATTTCAAAGGATCTCGCATGTGCCGGGACTCTCTTGGTTGAGCGTGCCGAGGTTCTCGCGTTTGCGAAGGACTTCGGGTGCGCGAGGATTCAGCATTTGTAAAGACCACGCTCGCATGGTGGGAGCCTTCGCGTGTGTAAGCAGCTTTTATATACAAACGGCTTTGCGACGATAAGAGCGCGCGCACGCGCGCGAATATGCTTCGAAAAACGGTGATCCAGAATCGCCGACGGAACGAATATACACGACACATATATACGGTGTAATATATCATACTATAACGCGCGATATTTCTTCCGGAGATGGAAGCGAGACGTCGTCGCTCGCGCGACTCCTTTCTTATCGACTTTAATTATCATCGATTTCCCCCTCCCTCTACCACTTCGCTTCCTCTCGCCTCTCGAATGCGAAACGCGAGTTCGTCGCTTCACGGAAAATCGTCGGGCTCTCCGGTTAATGAAAATCTCGCGGAAAATAAAGGAGAAAAGGCACTTCGCGCGATAAGTTCTCGCTCGAAATCCTTACTTTGAGAGACAAACAGAGAGGAGGAAGGGAAGAGAGAGAGAGAGAGAGAAAGAGAGATCGAAAAATTGCTGGTTCGAGCAAAAAGCCGCTTTGGGACGTTGCATTGTGTCCGGAATATGAAGATGGAGTTAGGACGGATGACCGAGTCATTTCATTGTCCCGCGAGTAGCGTATCTCTCAAGGACAAAAGGTCGGGTTTTCTTTTGCGGACTTTTCAATTCCTCGGTGAACCACATCCTCTCGTTTCTCGCCCCCCCCCC